GTTCCTTGTTTATTACTTATATAATTTGTGCCAATGATCTACTTTATCTTTTAATTTTTTTTTAATGAATACCAAGTAGTTGGATGATCACTGCTTTATTATTTAGTTTGAGATCTGGCAGTGTTTTATCCCCTTTCTTTTTACTTGTTTTTCATCATTTCCCTACCTTTTGTTCCAGATGAATTTTGTTACTGTTTTGCATAGTTCTATAAAGTGTTGTCCTTGTCATTTGTTATCATGCTAAAATTTTAAATTAATTCAAGTAGTATCATCCACATTTATTCCCTTGGCTCTGCCCAAAGATAAGCAGTAAATATCACATCAATAATCTGTCTTCCTCTTTCAGAAAAAATGATGCATTGTACTTATATTGTATGACGTTACATTTACATTAATTTTGCATGTGTCTTGTTAGGTTAACTCCTGTATTTTTAAGCATTTTGCAGTTATTTTGAATATATTTCTCTTATTATTCCTTCTAGGTTTTTATTAGTACTTTGTAGAAATGCTGATGATTTTTATGGATTTATTTTGTACCTTGATATTTATTGAGGTTACTGTTGCACTTATTTTATTTTCTGATTCATTGAGGTTTTCTAAGCACATTATCAAGTCATCTACAGATAATGATTTTATCTACTGCTAACCTTTATGCCTTTAATTTTGTTCTCTTGTCTTACAGCTATTGGTGGCATTTCTAGAATTATGTCAAATATTTGTGGAGAGATGGGGGCATACTTTATTCCCTGCCACTCAAGATTCTTTAATAAAGACATTTTTCATTAAATACTTTCAAATGCGTTTTTATAGCAAAATATCTTTTTTCTATGAGAATGTATTCTTTTCCTCAATTTTTAGATGATCCTCTGTCTATACTTTAAACATAATACAAACATATATATTTATAGACTTATATATAGTTTTTTTCCAAGTACCCAAAGCAGTTGCAAATGAAAAAGGTATTTCCTCACTCACTCAATTTTATAATATGTGAAACACCTTACTATTTTATGCCAAAGAACATCCCTTGAGAATAATTTATTAATGGATTTATTCTTATTTTAGTGAATGTGCTTCATGTGAGTTCTTCTAAATTAAATCTATCACCATCCTGTCAGAAGCACCACCGTCCTTCCAGTATCTCAGGTTCATAATTTCAGCATCATCCTGGACTCTTCAAATGTCTCTCAACCCACATATCCAAACACAGTTGCCCAATTTTGCTATTTCTACCTTCACAACTTCTCTCCCGTCCAACTTCTTATCTATACTTATACAGCTACCATCTGAGTTCAGACCTTCATTATTTCTCACCTAGATTTTGCAATAGCCTCCTAATTGGTCTCCCTGTTTGAATTTCACACCATACCAGTCCATCATATGCACAGCTGTCAAAGTAATCTTCCTTTAAACACACATCTATATGACTTCTACTCAGCCAACTCCAGTGGCTTCCTCTAGGCCAAAATATAAATTCCTGTTTAGCTTTTAAAGCACTTGACAGCCTGAATCAAACATCTTTCTAGTTTCATGGGGCATTCCTCCTGCATTCTGTGATCCAGTTAAACTGGTCTCTCTGTACCTCACCCATGACATTCTTTTTCTCATTTCTTTGCCTTTGCACTAACTGTTTCCCATACTGGAATGCTTTACTACTACCACACACACCCTTACTGTTCCCTCCCCTTTACTGCCTCTCAGAGTACCTCTCTTCCTTAAGATTTAGCTCAGATACTATCTCCTTCATAAAACCTATTCCTGATTCCCCCAATTTTAATGTCCTCCTTCCCAAATTACCTTACATTCAACTATATTGTATATAGTTTTATTTTTTAACTTTTATGTTGTACTACTTTTCTTCCCCCTTTAGAATATTAGCTCATTGTAAGTAGGGAGTGTTTCATTCTTTGTACCTATGATATTTGTATGAATCCTTGGTCTATAGGTATGTGTAGTCCAGACCTTTGATTTCATTGATATACTGGACTCACTGATTTAACTTCTTTCACCCACAGAGGTCAACAACTGTCTTGAAACTTGGTCTTAGAGAGTTTTTGGAGGTGTTGATATGTTGGGTCTGAGGTCATTTATCCATTATGTATCAGAGGCAAGACTTGAACCTCAACTTCCTGACTCTATGCCTAATACACACATAAACTATTTTGGGTTTCTGATTTCAACAATACGGATTCTTCTTTCAGTGATGCAAATTAAAATCCATCTATGTCTACTCACCCTGTACAGTTTTTGTTCATATTTTCCCATTAGTTCTTTAAGGGAGGTAAGTGTGGGGTTCACCCAATCTGCTGGAAACCTCTTATCTCTTGATTTTATGTGGATATCAATGGAATATGCAGGCGGTCATCATTATTCTTCACACACTCTACTTGAATGCATACCAGTTCTATGTAGTTCCCCTATTGTAATGTGCTACAGTCTTCTTACTGTGCCTTACATCTACGTTTTCATTGCCCTTTGAGATTATAGTGTTACTGAGTTGCAGCAAGACAACAGCAGCAAAAGTATATTAGTATTAAAAAGATAGGCCTTTGTTTCAGGGAATAGCGTAGAGGTCATTTAAAGAACTGTGTTGTTTTCCAAAATCCATCAAGATTGTCATCCTCTTGTCCACTTTCCATGTATATTCAAGGCATATGTACTGATAGTTGAGGTTTGGTCATCAACAAGCAGTTATTAAGCACCTACTATGTACCCATCATTGTGTAAGTTACTGGGGGACACAAAGACAAAAATGTAATAGTTCTTTCCATCAAAGAGTTCACATTTTGTGAAGGTGGTAACTCATGTGTGAGTATGCACACACATATATATATGCACACATATACACAAATAGATGGATAAGTATATATAGAACAAACATAAAATAAATACAAAGTAATTTAGAGAGGGAGTATATTATCAGGAGAATCAACAAAGGCCTAGTGTAAGCGGTGGTGCATGAAATGAGCCTTGACAGAAGGTAGGGATTCTAAGAGGAGGAGGTCAAATGTAGTACATTCTTGCCATGTGGGTCACTGCTTCAGATGTACTAAGGAAGGCTTGGAATTTCATATACGTGGAACAGTAAGTAGGCCAGTTTGACTAGAGCAGGAGTAATGTGGAATTAATCTGGAAAAGTAGGTTGAAGCCAGGTTGTGGTATATTTATCTTAGAGAAAATAGGCAGCCACTAAAGCAGGGGAGTGATATGGCCGATCCTGAGATTGAGGGATATCGATTTAGCAATTATGTGGAGGATGGATTAGAGGGGTGAAAAGATTGCAGGCAGGGAGACTATTTACTATTTAGGAGGCTGTACAGTAGTCCAGATAAGCATGATAAGGTCCTGAACTAGGGTGGTGGTTGTGGTGTGAATAGAGAGAGAAGGACAGATGAAACCTCTCTAGGTTGTCTAACTGCATTGAAGGATCATTTCTCAAGGTATCCAAAAGAAGGGGAAGATATACATGTGGAAAAATTTCATGTCTTATTATCATTGAAAAATCATATCAATAGCTATCAACCACATTCCCATTGTCATAAAATTGTTACAAGAAAAAATGTTGACGTGCATCAATTTTATCCTTGGTGAAAGACATTGGAATAGGCAGGCTTTTGTGATATTCTAGAGCAGACCACATCTTTCTGGTCATATTGCTGAAACAAAGTATAGATTATAGACAGTCCTATTGTACTCATTTGTTGACTGCTTTAAAAAACCCATTTGATTTAATAGAGCAAAACACCCCTTAAAGACTCTCCTTCTCTGGGGTTATCAATGTTTTTGTGTGTCTATCAAAATCATACAGACTTCCTTGACTAATAAGAGAAAGAAACACTCTTAGTATTTTACATACATGTCTGTGAATAATATGATTGAATTTATAGAGGATTTTATTGTTTGTTGAGTGTGCAATTAAGATTGGAGATGTAAAATCATTGTAGAATTTCCTTCAATTTACTTTCCCTTAACTTATATTGAATCTAATCTAGGCTGGCAAATTTCACAGAAAGTTATTTCTTCATGGTTATGCTTGAAATAAAAACTACATTATCACAATTAGCATTATGTGTCATGGGATTTTTCTTTTCTTTTTTTTTGGTTCAGTGTTAACTCATGTGGCCGACTAGTGGCAGAAAGGAAAACTGCTGCTTTGGGTCTGTGGGTGCTAAAGGGGGAAAAATGTGTTATTGCTTTTCATCTTAGAAAGAACATAGGCTTCACGTTGGATCATCCATAAATTATATAAACAGAGCTTTAAAAATTTTTTTAAAAAAGCTTTTTCTTTAAACACAACTCGAATTTCATTCAGATTTGCTCTTAGAATATTTAGTAAATGTAATACTAAATTCTTTAAGGAATGCCCTAGACAGCCATTTGTTTATCTCTGCAACTTAAAGAAACATGAATGCATTTGTCTGGGCAGTGTAAAGTGTTTCCATAGCCTCCAGTAGGAAGAGAAGATAAAAAGGAGTGAGGGGGGGGTAAAGTAGGGGGAGGGAGACAGAAGTGGGAGGTGCGGAGAGGAGAAAAGAGAGACACATATACCCCCTATGCAACAGTTTGTCGTCTTCGATATCAGCAAAGACTTCTCCTTTAACTACGGCAGGATTTATTTTTAACTCTTTGGCTCAGTGTTTGTCAGATGATTCTGGCCATCAAACCGCTTGCTGAAACACCCCAGCGCAGAGGAAGCGAGGATGGCTGAGGAAGGGGGTTGTCTGGGAAAGGGGGCGGGATTTTGGGGCTGGCGCTCTGCTCTCTCTGCAGCTCAGCCTCGTAGTCTGAGAGGGAGCTAAGGGCTCAGAGCTGAAAGAGTGTATTTGCAGGTCAGAGTGGGAATTAAAGGGTAATGGCTGCTTTCAACTGCTTAAAGACATAATTACTCAATTATTGGTGTTTTGTGGAGAGGAAGTTGGGACCTGAATATTCACAGTGCAGTTTGCTGCTGGGTGGCAAATTAATCTTTTCTCCTTTGCTTGATGTTGCCATTCTGAAAGCGCCTCTAACCATGATCGATAGCTCCAAGAAGCAGCAACAGGGTTTCCCGGAGATTTTAACTGCTGGGGACTTCGAGCCATTGAAAGAAAAGGAATGCCTTGAGGTGAACAACCAGAAAAGTCTTAAGGAAGGTCAGTCTATGAACCGGGGCCATAAGCTGCAAAATAATAACTGTCAATCAGCCTGCATGTTGCTACTTATTGTATTGTTATTTATATTTTCAAGCATGTACCTTTCATTTTTTAGGCTCTTTGCAAAGAGTATGATGATGCTGATGGTAGCTATTACTAATTATCAAATAGTATCTGCTGGATTTGTACAGTAATTGATCTAGTAAAGATATTATTTAAATCAATGTTTAATAAAAATGTATTAGTTCATTTAGAAATTGTGATGTTCTCTAAGGTTGTGGGTTTTTTCCAAATGGAGTGACTGTAGTTTTTTAAAGGAATAATGTTTCATTTTCAAAATTGTCTTAGTTGCTTTTTTTCAACTATCAACAATTCAAGGGAATTTTTTTTTATTTAATATTATTTTTCCCCCACAAGAGGCTAAAATTCCTTATCAGCAGTCTCAAAATTCTTCAAAACTGTATACTGTTGAGCTCATAAGCAAAGTATCTGGCTGAGGATGCTACAAGTTTTCCTTTGCCATTTGATGGTAGATAATTGATCATTAAGAAAATTACTAAAACTACTTGGGCTGGTTCTCCTTTGGCAGAAAGAATATGTGAAGGGACAGGTGACAACCAGCTTTGTCATTACCAATTGAAGGTAAAGAGGGTTGAAGTTTAAGAAATCCAGAAGCTCCTACAGAAATAACCATTGTTCCTGAGTTTGAGGCATAAAGATCATTGCCTCCCAATTTTCTCTAAATTAGAAAGATAATTTTCTAGCCCTTTTGAAAAAAGAATTGCATTTGGGTTTCATCTGCTTTGAGTTCCTGCCATCAGCCACCCCCTCATCTCCCCACACACTCTTGCTCATCAGATACAAGCCCAGAGATTAAATGTCTTCGGTTTTCTCTCTCAAATTGAGAACTTCAAAAGACAGAATTATTTGTTTGAGTCTTAGTGTTTGTTGCTTTAGAGATTATTAATGTTGAGAATTTTAAAATAAGGGTAAGAAAAATTAGTTGAAGCTGGATATTTAAATTTCTATTGGACTGCTTTTCACAAATATACAGAAATACCTAGAGAGAAACAAATACATTAGGACAGTAAAAATAGCAGTTGTTAGGAAGAGAGCAGTAATGTTGCTTCTGTTATTGCAGAGTAGATCCTACTTTAATTTTCATTATAAATACATTTTCAGGCCACAATTTCTATCACAATAATAAGCATGAGAAGCTTTTTTAAAAAATCAATTGAACCTTTAAAAAATTATTACTAATAAAACTTAAGCTCCTATTGCTTCCATGAAGTTAAAAAAAATGACTTTGCTTGGAGGAATAAGCAAGGAGAAAAGCAGACCTGCTTGCAAAACAGGAAGAGTGGGAGGCTCCTAGAGAAGGAATAAAAGGAAGGTATCACAGTAGAGAATATGGGAGAAGCACAGGAAGCAAGTAATAGAGAATAAAAAATAAATAGGAAATAGAAAAATATGGTAAATCTTTCTACATGTATATACATGCATTTGTGTACAGAATAAGAATAGCCTATTGTAAAATATGTAAAAACCACTCCCAAGAATATTGTTATTGATTAGATTTTTGTCCTTAGATAAAATAAAAGTTGTTTTTCTTTCCCTTCCTGTATCTCTTCCCTTCCTTAATCTATAAATTTTCTTCCATATTCATATTTCTGTTGTTTTTTTCTTTTACTATGATATTTACACTTTATAGTTTGTAGATATTTCCAGAGCCACAAAGAAATTTACATCTATATATTCTTGCTCAGTCAAGTTGGAGGGGAGTCTGTTTTTTGTTTTGTTTTTCTTTACTTTAAAGAAGTCTTATGTATGTTAACATGTATTTTCTTACAGTTCTATGCTTGCTAACACCAAACTTAGGTTTTACTCAGTGTCTTAGATTTTTTTGCTTTCCACACATGATATTGTACAGATGAAGCATGGTGGGAAGAAGAGTAGTTGTTTAGCGTTAAGGTTCACAGGGATGATATGTTTCTCCATAAGTTGATAAAGGAGCTAAGAAAGGATTTCACTTGGTTTTATCTAGACCTGAAAAAAAAATCACACACTTACCTAGTCATAAGAATACTCCTGTTTTCTTCATCCTTCTGTATGCAAAATTGGATTCCTATAGAATTTGGTGTGAGAAGTGCTACATGGAGGAACTATGAATTTACTGAGTCAAATAGGAAAGGTTGTGGAATATAAAATTAGGATAAACCTCTAGAGACCTTAACTTCCACACTCTTAAGTCTAAATCATAAGATCATTTCTCATTCAGTTGTAAAGTTGATTCATATGTGAGATTTAAAAAATTTTGTTGTTCTTTAGACATGGCCAACTCTTGATGACCTCTTTTGGGGTTTTCTTGGCACAGATGCTGGAGTGGTTTGCCATTTCCTTCTCCAGTTCATTTTACAGATGAGGCAAGCAGGGTAGAGTGACTTGCCCCGGGTAGCACAGCTAGTAAGTATCTGAGACCAGATTTGAACTCAAGTGTTCATGACTCCAGGCCCAGCACTCTATCCACTGAACCACCTAGTTGTTCATCATTAAAAAGAAATAGCCATTATCTAAAGACCTTTTCCTTTTGTGACAGGTCCAGGAATATAATACAATACTGTTCTCAAAAGGGAAACATTTAAAAATAAGTATCAAATATGGTATAGTTTCTAAAAAATGTTTATAGTTTATTGAATTTTTATAAAAACATTGTTTCATGTTCTTCACCTGCTTTGTATGAGGAATGAAGGGAGAACATATCTGTGTTTTCAGATGTTCAGAGTCAAGTGTACATATCCACCTTTCCCTGACATATCTGTCCTTTGACATGTATGTTTGTAATCTTAGGACCTCTCCTTTGCTCTTTGCTCTGTTTTGTCTCAGCCTGCCCTGTGCCCTCTCCTCAAGTCCATTTCAGGTCAATGTGATGTATAAAGAGATAACAGGGTAGGAGAGAGCAAGTTTTTGGGGGCCAAAGCAGAAGCTCAGTGAAACTGTGTAATGGCCAGGTCACTTGACCTCACCAAGCCCAAGTTTCTCCTGTAAAATAGGACGAATACTTCAACCACCTACCTTATGGGGCTGCTGTGAGTGAAGTTTTTTGTAGATTGTTTTAAAAAATATTTTCGTTGATACCTTTTGTGTTTATATTATCTTTATTTCCAAATAAATCCTTCCTGGCTCCTTACACAATAATCTATTCCTTGTTAAAAAGAATATTAAACAAAGAGGGGAAAAAAGCTGCTTAGTAAAACTGATCAGTATATCACTGCATCTGATTGTATATGTGTGATCCATACCCATAGACCCCCACCTTTGCAGAGGGTAGTGATATGCATTTTCACTAATCTGCTACAGGCCTCAGCTTGGTCATTATAGAGATTTGGCATCAATTTTTTAATCTTGCCATTTTTTTGTAGTTGTTGTGTATGAGCTTTTTGGGTTCTGCTTACTCTGCATCAGTTCTTTCCAGTCTTTCCATGCTTCTTTGAATTCTTCATATTCATCATTTCTTACTATTCTGTACGTTACCAGGTTGCTGAGCATTTACTTAGTTTTCAGTTCTTTATTATCACAAAAAGAACTGCTATAAATATTTTTATGTATGTGGGATCTTTTTTTTAAGCTTCTAATCTTGGAGTGGGAGGGGGAGAAAAGGGAGGTAAGCATAGCAATAGGGTTAAGGGGTATAGATTTTTTTTTTTTAGTTGGTGGGGGTGGCATAATTCTAAATTATACTCCAGACCATTTGGATCAGTTCACAGCTCCAGTAACAGTATATTTCACTTACCTGTCTCCCTTCAGTCCCTCCAATGTGGCGTCCTGTGTTAGCATGAGTTGCTAGATGAGGGAAAGGGAACAATAGTGGTAATAATAGCTAGCTCTCGTAGCACTTTAAGGTTTGCAAAGCATTCTATATATGTTGAGATTCTCATTTGGTCCTCACAACCCTGGAGGGTAGGTGCTATTTATTCTCTTCATTTTACAGATAGGAAACTTTGGCATGGAGAGGTTAAGTGACTTGCCTAGAATCATACAGCGAGGAAGTGGCTGAGGCAGAATTCCAGCTCAGGGTTTCCACACATTATCCACTGTGACAATGGCTGCCCTGGGAAGAATGGGAGATAATAAGATCTGGAAGAGGATTAAAAGGAAGGTAGGAAAAAGATTAGACTTTCCAAAGTGTAGATGAACATATAGAAAGAACGTGATTAGGGACTTATCTCAGGACCAAGAAGTTTCCTTGGAGGGCTAAGTAAAAAGGAAGGTAGGAAAAAGATTAGCCTTTCCAAAGCGTAGATGAACATATAGAAAAAAAAAAAATCTATACCCCTTAACCCTATTGCTGTGCTTACCTCCCTTTTCTCCCCCTCCCACTCCAAGATTAGAAGCTTAAAAAAAAAGATCCCACATACATAAAAATATTTATAGCAGTTCTTTTTGTGATAATAAAGAACTGAAAACTAAGTAAATGCTCAGCAACCTGGTAACGTACAGAATATATAGATTAGGTACTTATCTCAGGACCAAGAAGTTTCCTTGGAGGGCTAAGTAAAGTAGCAGGAGGCCTATCCCTGTAAATTCTTTTCCCTGAATACCCACTGTCCCCCTAACCCTGCTTCTAAGTCCCTATGCCTGGATCCTAATTCTTTCTCCCAATTCTTTCCTCACCTATCCCCAGTTCTTTCTTGCTTCTTCAACTTAGCTGGAACTTTTCCTACCACCACTGGTTTAGATTTAGTAAAAATCCTTATTCCTGGTGCTGGAGTTTTCCATGTTGGAACTTTGAATGCATCTTCCTCTAAAAATCTTGTCATACACAAGGGTTAAGTTCTACAGTGCTTTTTGTCTAGTACCACATTTTTGGAACATTTTGAGTTAAACAGGCTTTCTGTAGGCTGACTTGTGAACTTAAACACTGTTTTATAACCTTATATCTAAAGGGAAATGTATCCTCATTTCTAAACAACTTACATATAGAGTTTATAGACTACTGACTG